AAAGTAGATATGTATTAATTCACATTCGTTTCAATCTGAAATAACGATGATTTGAGTGTCTCCTCATGCCCAACATTTTGTTAACATTCATTCGGCATTCAGAAGCAAAAGCCTCTTTCCCCTTGTGGGATTCAATCTGGAGAAAGAGTCCTCGATGGGACCTTGTGTTACTTCGGAGTACATGGGGTGATACTTTGTAAGTTCATGGTAGAGTATCTGTAATGTAGTAAGGTCTCAGTAATGCTAGTCGCTGTACTCAGTATTCTCTTGTTTTGTGTTCTGTATGAAATTTAAGGTAGATAAATGGAGATATTGGTGAGACAACAATGGAGCATTTGTACATAATTGGTCACTCCTATAATTAATTGGATAAGCCACAATGAGACATTGTCAAATCAATTCTTACTGATGGTGTTCCCCTCTGAATTAAAGTAGATCTGTGGTCTTTAGAATTTCAAAGGCTGAACTTTCAAAAATAGATTTTCCAAAACTTTCTTTTGAGAAGCCTCTGAGTATATTTGAACCTCCCACTTTAGCAACCTAGTATGTTAACCATTTGCACCACCCAGGAACTCCCTTTTGTTGGATACTAGGTGCTAACACATATTTTGCTCTTTTGGTAAGATATACAATTGACATTTGCCATCTTATACACTTATAAGTGTATAATCCAGTAATATTAATTGCACTCATAAAGGTGTCCAACATCGCCACAATTTGTCCCCAAAACGTTTTTATCACCTCAAATAGATATTCTGACTCATGAAGCATTAATTCCTCATTCCTCTTCCATAGTCCAGATATTTCACGGGTGTGCGATCATTTCATATTTGTCCTTTTGTGTCTGACTTACTTCACTCAGCATATGTTTTCATGGTTCATTCACATTGTGGCATGCACTGGGGCTTCATTTCTCTGGTCTATTAAATGTACATACTACACTTTGTTATATTCATTCATTAGTTGATAAACACTTTGGTTGTTTCCACCTTTTGTCCATCATGAATAAAGTATAGAAGCAAAAATTTCTTTGAGTGCCTGCTTACATTTCTTTAGGGTATATATGCCCAGGATTGAAGTTATTGGCTCATAGGTTAATTCTATTTTTAATTTTATGAGGAATCCCTGCAGCTGCACCGTTTCACATCCCCACGATCAATGCATGAAGGTTTCAATTTCTCCACATCCTAGCCAAGATTTGTTGTTGTTTTCTTACTGTTTTTGGTGTTGCTTTACAATAGCCAATCTAGTGGTTTTGAAGTCGTTTCTCAATTTGGTTTTGTTTGCATCTCTTTAATAACTAATGGCATTGAGTGTTTTTTCATATGCTCATTGGCTATTTGTATGTCTTTGGGAAAATGTTCACATCCTCTGTCCAGTTTTTTATTGTTTATCTTTTTATTGTTATTCTGTAGACTTTTCCCACTTTCTTGATAATGTGCTCACACACAAACATTTCTATTTTGATGAAGTCAAATTGATCTGTATTTCGTTGCTTATGCTAATATATCAAAGAGTCTATTGTCAAATGCATGGCCGAAAGGAAGCTTAAAAGTGGAAACAATTTCTGCGTTTTCTTTTAAGAGTTTGGTGGTTTTAGCTCATATAATTAGGTTCTTGGTTCGTCGTGAGTTACTTTTTATATATGGTAGAAGGGCTCAGCTTAATTCATCCAATTGTTCTAGCACCATTTGTTGAAGAGAGGATTCTTTCCCGCTTGGAGAATTACTATTGTTCTCCTGATTCAGTTTATCCAGTTAATTGGAATTGGCCCCTTTGTTGTCATCATTTAGCCACATAGGTATGGGGTTATTTCTGGACTGTCAATACCAAATTCTTTTGATTGTGGGACTTTTAGTCAGTTTGAATTTGGGAGAGTGTGGCTCTCCTGTTTTCTTTTTCAAGATTGCCTTGGCCTATGGCAGTCCATATGAATTAAAGGATTGACTTTTCCACTTCTGTAAAAAGATCTAGAATTTTGAAAGAACGCGATTGCATAGTCTAGTTCATGTTGGGTAGCATTAACATCTTAACAATATAAAGTCTCCCAGTCTATAAACATGGAATGCCTTCCTATTTTTTTTGCATCTACGTTCTTTTATCAGTGATAGATAGTTGTAATCTACAAGACTTTCTCCTACTTGATAAAATTTATACTCATGTATTCTTTCAGGGGCTATTATAAGCAGAATCATTTTTAAAATTTTCCTTTTTCAGATTGTTCATTGTGGGTATAAAGAAACACAGCTGACTTTCTTATGTAGCATATATTTCATTAAAGTTCATACTAAAGTATTCTTATTAAAAAGCTAATTTTAGGTGAAGAATCCTTTGATAACTGCTCTGTATTAAAATATTCTCATTGGATAACAATAACTGGATAAACTGAATCAGGAGAACAATAGTAATTCTGTTTAAAGAAAAAGCTAAATAAGTACTAGACAACAACAACAAAATGTTCATTTCTTACAGGTGGACATGAAAGTGAAGCTGATTTGGCTTTTCAAAATTTACGAAAGACAGAAGTAGATTAGAAGTTGATTTAAATGAATCTTAAAATGGTTAATGATTAAAATGAATCTAAGCTACTGGTCTCCTGCACCATTTTTCGTTGTTTTGATGCAAGTTCTTCTGTGTCTGTTTCTTCTCTTGCTGTTTTCACTCATCCAGCTCTGTCATTTCCATCGTGCTTATCATGGCTATCAAATTTCATTTTCTCACCTTGAAACTGTACTATTCCTAAGCAGACCAAACGTGGACAACTTTATTTACTTTTTCTTATTATTTAACTTTGCAGTCTTTTGATTTCCATTTTGGGGGGGATTCTTGCTGATCATTCATGATTTTCAGTGCTGCCTTTTCTACCTCTCCTTTAATACTTCCCACATCACTTCTTTGTTCCTAATTGTAGGTTACCTGCACATGCATCTTTGAGTTGGCTTTACCCACTACTTCCTTAGCTTTTTCTTTAAATAGAGTAACTCTTTTGCTTCACTGACAAAGTCTAGGCATTTTATTTTTCTATAATTTGAGAAAAGGGTGTGTACAAATCTTCTCTAGAGGTCTGATCAACTAAATCACTGGAAACTTTCAGCAAGCTGCCCATCTTGTTTTCTATAAGTTTCACTTCAATAATGCATTTAAAGAAGAGCACAACTGATTTTTGTGTGTACGTTGGTCTTGTACTCTGCATTTTGTGGGATCTGTGTATTAGCTCTAGTGGCTTTCTTGTGGAATCTTTGATATTTTCTGTATGTGTAGCTCTGTATAAGGATAGTTTCACTTGATTTTCAGTTTGGGCGTTATTTATTCTTGCCTTCTCTTTTATCGTTTGAACTCCCAATACAGTGTAAAACAACAGTGGTGAAAGTGGAAATCTTTTCTCGTTCCTGGTCTTAGGTGGAATTAAAAACAAAAGAAATAAACCCACACCTTTTACCATAGAGTTGATTCCAACTCGCGGCAACCTCCTGTGTGTTCAGGTAGCAGGAATGAAGAAAGGGTCTGGGGAGAACAGTATTAAGATTTAAATAGATTGTATTTATGTCCATTGGTCATTCAGGGGTGATGGGAACATATGCTATTCCCTGAAAATGGTAGTGGTTAAGAATTTAGCTCGGAAGTCAGTGTGTCTGGTTTAAATGCTGGCCTTTTCTATTACTTAGCTAGGTTTCCTTCAATAGGCTGCTTAACCGTTCTGGGTCGTTTTCCTTATTTGTAAAATTGGGTTAATACTCATGCTAATTTATAGGGTTTAAGCAATGCTTAATTAAGATATAGTATGTCAAGTGTTTAGTATAGTGACTGTACCAAAAAATTTTAACTAATGCTGTTGGTAATTGAGTGTTCTGAGACCACGTCTGGTAGACTACTAGTAGTAGATTAGAATAAGCTGCCAGCTATGTTCTAAGTAAAACAGAGCTGGGGATGTTTGCCCTATTGTAAACATTAAGTAAATTGACTAAGGACCGTGGAAGACTTGGAAAGATTGTCATTGAATTCAGGAATTATCTGAAACAGTGAGATGAATTAAATAGCTCATTAGTTCTATCACTTTACTCTGGTGTTTTGAATTGACAGGTGTTTTGAATTGAAGTGTGCTTAAAAAGTAAAACAAAAGTCATTTGTTAATGTTAAAATCAGAAGGATAGTTTAGAAATATGTTTTTTTCTTCTTGAAAATACAGTGATAGTTTAGAACCTAGCTGTAGAGAATATTGACTGTATCCATTCCATGCCAGTACTTAATGAGATGATAGAGAATACTGAGTTAAAAATACTGGGGTTTACCAAAGAAATAATAATCAATTTTATAAAGCTGATATTGAATTTAATGAAATAAATGTTAACTTATGGTGTGGTATACTATACAAAGCTTAGAAATAACATCCTTTTTGATGTACATATTTTAGATTTAAGGAAAGGGCTTATTTAAACAGTATTTCTAATTTAATTACTTTTAGAATTGACCCATTTGTATGACTCTTAAATAATTACAACCATACTTCTTAAGATGTTCCTGTGGGCTGGAGAGGAACCCTGGTGGTAAAGGGTTACGCACTTGACCGCTACCTGCAAGGTTGGTGGTTCAAACTCACTAGCTATTCCATGTGAGGAAGATGCAACCATCTGCCTCTGTAAGGAGTTCCAGCCTTGCCTTGCAAACCTTATGGGCCAGTTCTGGTCTGGCCTACAGGGTCCCTGGGAGCTGGAGTCAACTTGGTAATAGTGGGTTTGATTTTGATATGGTGGGCTAAATGCTATACATTATTTAATTTTATTAGTATCCATTCATTCAGTACGTTTTATTTACAATCATTTAAAATCATGTAAAATAGGTTTCAATCTT